GAAATATTTTTTTTAATATAACGAGATATTTATATGTGGGTGTTAGGGTTGTGACTATCCCAGTGGGGTGAGGCCCTTGAACCCCACCTCCTTTTCTTGTATGTGAGCCCCAGACTGGACTGCTGCCTCCCTTTCCCTTCCCAAAGCGTGTTGGTTTGTGTTCTGACAGAGGATAAAGTTATTTTACCAAAACATAGGGGATTTATTTGAGGTTTGGGCCAAAAATAATCTTGTGGGAGGTGGTTGGCCATCAGATCTGTGTGGGGCAGGAAGCCTGAGGTTCCTTGGGGAGATGGTTGTGCCCGGGCAGGCAGACATCTGGGGCCCCAGGGGAGTGAGGTTTTGCTCAAAGCCCAGGCAAAACTACGGATGAAACAAACTATTTACAGTCCCTGGGGAGGTACCCAAGGCACTTGAGGGGGTAGAGGCGGGCTCAGCGGTATCGAGCAAGTCGGTCATAGACGTAGTCCAAGTTTCTGCACATGAATATCGAGAGTGTCATGAAGCCGAGCTACAGAGAAAGAAGACAAGAGATAAGAGATGGTGGAGTGATAGGGGTGAGGCGGTTATGGGTCCCTGAGGAGAAAAATCTGGGACGGGATCCAGGGGAAAAAAAAAAAAAGAGTCCTAGAACTCCTAAAGAAGTGGGTTCCTAGGAGTGGTGGCGCAGGCCTGTAATCCCAGCACTTTGGAAGGCTTAGGCAAAAGGATCCCAAATTCAAACAGCGACCTGCTGTGTCCTGCCTCAAAAATGAAAAATAAAGATGAACTGAGGGTGTAACTCAGGGCAGAAGCCCTGGGTTCAATCTCTAGTATTGGGAAGAGGGGGAAAAAAAAAAAATGCGGGCTGGAAGGAGAACTGGAAGAAGCGAGCCCAGGACTGCAGCAGAGATGGGGAACCCCGCGGCAGCAGGTGGGGAGGTGGGCCCGTCGAGGGTAAGGAGAGAGGTAGGAAACAAGCCCAGGGGCCTTTATTCTGGAGCTGCGACTGTCTCCGCCTCCGTGCTCCGGGTCTCGTCTGGATCCCACGATGGCCAGGGCCCCAAGGCCATGGGCACCGGGTCCGGTGGCGCCCTGTCTGCCCAGGCTGCCGAGCTCCAGCGGCCCCATGTGGCCGCGCCACAGCGCCCAGCCCCGCCCTTAACACCAAGGCCGGGTGAGGCTCCCCGACAGTCTGCGTCCGGGACTTGCGGCTCGGATTGCCTGCGGAGCGCTGGGCGGTGCAATTGCAGACTCAGAACCATTAGACTCACCTGCGAGGAAAGCAGCGTATAACCAACCAATCAGCCCACAGAAGATAGGCCCCGCCCCCAACCCCCAAAGCAGTGGTGGGAGGGGCGGCTGCTCTGTCGCGCATGCGTCCTCCCGGGCCTAAGAGACTGGCGGTCTATTGACTGCCGACCAATCGCGATTGGGGCGGAGCCAAATCACCTCGAGTAGACCGATCCCCAGACAAATGCCAACTATGGAGATGAGGTTGTTGTGCAGCCACCTCTGGAGGCTCTTCGCGCAACCCTGGGGGAGTAGGGGAAAGTTAAAGGTGGCGTTCATTCAAGCCCAGGCTCAGCATTCTCTGCTTCTCTCTTGCTTCTTTCAAGCACCGATCCACTCTTAAAGTTACCGGGACTTTCTAGTCTCAGTTCTGGGGATCCGTCTCATCTCTCCCAAGCTTTGCCCTTCTGGACGTCTGTGTTCCTGGGCCCACTTTCCTGTAGACCCCTCCCTTTTGGAGGGCCTTGCCCCCCTCGGCATTCCCCTTAGTCGGCCGATCTCTCGTAGCCCCGCCTCTCTTTGGCCACGCCCATCCCCGGGACCGCCCCTCGCGAGGCCACGCCCCGGGAGGCAGTGTCCCATTGGAGCTGTTTGGTTCCAGACCCTCAGGTACCTCGCGGTAGATGTGGTTATCTGCAGGCACAGAGCAGAGGTCGGCGCTGGGCCTTGGCCGTGCCCGCAGTCCAAGCTGACCGGGCTGAGAGAAGTAGATCTTTTCAAAAACTGTGGAGTCGTTGGTGGTCGACGAGTTGTAGCAGGAGCAGGGCACGCGGTCCGCCTCCGATTTGTTGCCTCTCAGGATGAGGACCTGGAGCCAGTCCTGCGGAGAGTGCCAGCCGCAGCAGCGCAGCTGAGGAAGGGATGAGAGTGAGGGATCAGGGCCCACGGTGATGCGAGATGGTGCTGGGTATCAGGGGACCCGGTGATGGGTTTGAGGTCAGACCAGAGAGCAGGGGCAGAGTCCTCAGGCAGAAGGCGGGTCTGGGTATCCCGCGGGGGTGCTGGCCTACCCTAGGGTTGGGGTGAGTGAGTGGGGTGCGCTAGAGACCTAGAGCTGGAGGATGGGGCCACATCCGGGCAGAGGCTCTTTGAAGGCTAAGCTGAGCAAAGCCACATTGGAATCCCGGGAAAGGGAAGGCTTGATGGGGCCATGCACCTGGAATTGAGTGTAGTCCCAGCTCTCCTCCGCTGCTGTCTCCTCTGGGTCAGAGCCATAGTTTTGGATGGTGCTCAGCACGAGCTCCTTCACCCTTCGCTCCAGCTGAGAGGTGGTGAGTGAGGCTGCGAAGAGCGAAGCTGCGCCCCATCTGCCCCGCCCCTCCAGCTGCTCCCAGAGCTAGAGTTCGGACCCCAGGGGTTCCCGGGGAAGCTCTTTCTTGTGCTGGTTTTCATTACTCCTTGAACGGCTAGTTTATCTCTTCCTTAGACCTCAGTCCTATTTCTGGAGGTCACTGGATCTCTATTGCTTCTCCAGGGACTTCCATCTCCTCCCTTTTTTTTTCCCCCTCTGCTGCCCAGACTAGCCTCAGCCTTGCGGACTCAGCGATTCTCTCGACTCAAGTCTCCCTAGTAGCTGCGACTGCAGGTGCCACACTCTCAGCTTTCCTTTGAGATCTCCCTCAGTGTCCTTGTGTCATTCTCTGATTCCTACAGGCCTTTTTCTCTCGCTCTCCACTTACCCCCCGCCCCACATACACCCTCAGCTGCAAGGAGTGGGTGTTGGCCGCGGTAAACTCACCCGGACCCGCTGAGTGGAAATGAGGACGCCCACAGTGATCTGCGTTGCAAACAGGAGCAGCAGGATTCCGAAATACTGGGGCAGAGAGGAGAGGTCAGGCTTATCCCTCCTCAAGGCATTCTTCGGGGTGGGGAGGGACAGGAGTGGCCTTAGGTTTTTTTCTTTTTTCTTTTTTGCGGAACAGGGGATTGAACTCAGGCCCTTGTGCTTGCCAGACAAGCGCTTATTCTACTGAGCTATCTCCTCGGCCCCAGGAGTGGCCCTAGGGATGGGAGCAGGGCACTCACCAGACCCAGGAGGCTGCGAAGTTCCTTGAGGGCCCCCACACAACCCAGGAGAGCAAGGCCCATGGTGAGAACCCCTGAGATGGCCAGGATCTTGGACCAGGTCTGCAGGGGCACGAAGGACAAGCCTGGGGGCAGAGGTGAGAGGCTTGAGACAGCCTGGTTAGCAGAGCTCCAAGCAGCCCCAGGCCCCACCCATGCAGCCCCCAAGTGGGGAGCAGCATCTCAGGCCAGGACGGGGGTTCTGGCTGGACTCCCTGTGTCCTGGGGACTATGTCCTCGTTTCACCCTGAGTCTGTTTCTTTCCTGATAAGAATTTGTCTCCTGTCTCTGAGCCCCTGTTTGCCCCCTCTGTGGATCTCTTTCCTTCCGTCCCGTCCCTCCTCAACTCCATCACTTCTGTGACATTAGCTTTGCCGCTAAAACCTCCGGAAGCCAAGGAAATAGTGTTATCTATTTTCTAGTTGTATTTTGTATTTTGTTTGTTGTTTTCTTTTTGTATTTTTTAGGGAAGGGTCTACAAGGTGGTCAGGGTCTCACTACTAGATTGGACTCATAGTGATCCGCCTGTTTATAGCCTCCCAAGAGCTGGGATTACAGAAGCTTGCCACTTGGGTCTCAGCGCACCCCCAGGGGTGGGGCTGACATGGCAGGTGGACCCCAGCCCCAGTACCTGCTTGCAGGTACTTTAATCCACTGAGCTATTTGGCCAGCCCTGTTTGTTGTTTTCTCAAATGGAATCTCACTATGTTTTCCAAGTTGGCTGGCCTCGAAGTCCTGGACCCAAGTGATGCTTCTCGTCAGTCTGCATGTGAGTAACAGGGACTACAGTTTTGTACTACCAAGCCTGGCTCTATGGTTGTTTTGAGAGATACAAAAGAGCATGTGTATAAAAAAAAAAAAGAGCATGTGTTCATCCCAGTCCTCGAGGCAAAGCAAATGATACTTCCCAGATGCTAGGACTTTGATAATTATGCCATTATTATATTCCTTATTGTTCTCAAAATTATTTCTGTTTCTTTCCTTCCTTGCTGTATGACACCCGGTAAGGGACTTCCCCTCTCTGAACCGCAAGAGAGGGGAAGGTTTGTGGGAGAGTCTGATCAGCACCAGTCCAAATTTGACACAGGAAGCATTTGAGAAATGGCTAACATTGTCACTGTCCCTGTTATTGTTGGTACACACAACCCCATTTGCCATAGGAAGACCGCGGGTTCCAAGAGGCCCAGCTCCAGTTGAGAGCGATTGGTGGGAGCCAGACGCCTTCCTGCAGAGTTGGGCTGTGTGGTCTCCCCAGGACAAGGGAGACTCTAGCAGGTGGCATGGGGAGAGGCTGGGCCCAGATCTACCCCAGAAAAGTCCTCCCGACTACTCAAGCCCCTCTCACCCACAAAGGACACAAAACTGGTCTTGTCGATGAGAATCCAGATGCCAAAGCAGAAAATCAAACAGCCCAGGGCCTGGGGGAGGAGATGACAATGTGGCAGTGGGCTAGGGAGGCAGAGGTATGAGGTCTGGGGCCAGGGCTAGGGAACCATGGGGCAACTCACAAAGAAGAAGAGGTTGAACACGAAGAGGAAGTACTTGATGAGGCTGAGGCAGCTCTCCTGGGCCGACATCTTTGCCTGGATGGGGAAAACACCAGCTAGAGGACTGACAGGAGGGGTTTCGCAGTGGTTGGCAGTGGTGGTGATGGACAGGAGGACAGAGGCCGGGGAGAAAAGAGAAAGAGGCTGAGAGGAGGCAGAAAGGAAGAACACAGAAAGAGGAAGTTCCAGGGGCGGGGCTCCACCCCTCTTCACAAGAAGTGACACTCTTCTCTATCTGTCCCTGACTCCCTCACCTGCCCAGAGGAGACACAGGCCGGTCCCTGAGGGGCCTGGGAATGGGAGGGCACCAAGGACACAGCGGGTGGGCCCTCCCGGGTCTCCATGGCTCAGGACCTTCAGGGATTCCTGACTGCCTTGAAGTCACCCCTGGGCTCCAGGACCCCAGAGCTGTCCCCAGACTACAGCCGACCTCACAGACACTCTGACCTCATGGCTGCTGAGCTCTGCTATCTGTCTCCAGTTTTGTCCCCCTTCTCTTATTTCCCTTCTCTGTGGCTCTGTCCCTCCCTCCCTGGGTCTGTCTTCCTCTGTGTCACCCTCCCAGTCTCTGTTCTTCCTCCCTCTGTCTCTCTGTTTTCTTCTCTCTGAGGCCCTGTCCTTTCTCTCCCCAACCCCCTAATCTTGGTCCCTTTCTCAGGGGAGACTGCATCCTGTTCTAGACTGGTTGCTCCCATGTGCTGGGGGAAGGGGGTGGGCACCTGGGGAAGTGAAAGTGCTGCAGGCAGAGGCGGGCAGGTCCCTGGAGTGGCAAGGGTGGCCAGGCTGTGCCAACATCAAGCGGAAGCTGAGCCTCAGGCACAACTTCCTGCCTCTGCCAGAGGCTTGAGGAGGAGGCCTCAGAGGAGTCAGGGGCTTGGGGGTCTCATTGCCACAATGAACCCAGCAGCCTTTGCAGTCTTCCCAGAGTGTTGCCCTTCTTGTCAGGCCCCAATCTCTCACAGATTTCCAGCACTGGGGGCTCCCCAGCTCATAGTCATCCTCTCAGACCCTGAGAAACCAGTCTCTGAGGACATAGCTGACTGTGTGCATCACATTTTACACATAGCTCAGGGCCTTTTCCAGATTCTCTTCTTCCTTCCTTTCTTCATCTTTTTTTTTTTTTTTTTATAATGTATTTAGTGCAGGGTCTCACTACACGGATCAGACTCATAGTGATCCTCCTGTTTTCAGCCTCGCAAGTGCTGAGATTACAGCCACGTGCTACCATGCCCAATCTCAGTCACCATCTCAGTGCACCCCGGGGAAGGGGCCAACACAGTGGGGTTTAATTCCGAGCCCCTGTGTCTGCCTAAGCAGGCATTTTAATCCACTGAGCTATCTGTCTGGCCTCAGTCCCAGTTTCAGTCTGACCCTTCAGCCCTCTTTCCTCAGCTCCTGCTTCTAAACCACAAAAGACTTCTCCATGGTGTACCTCCAAAGTACGTTTCAAATTCATCTGCCTCTCTTGAAGACTACCAACCTAAGTCCAGCCGAAAGGATAATTGAAGCTCATTGTGGGGAGTTAAGAGGTGACCAAAATTGTAGGCCTATCACCTAACCCACAGCGCTTGCGAATAGGCCTTTATTTGGAGAAAGAGGGGTTTTTGCAGAAATAATTAAAGACCCTGAGGTGTGCTCATCCCTGGATTTTGTTAGGAGGGTCCTAAATCAGGCGTCTTTATGAGACACACACAGGACGGTAGTGCCATGTGAAGAAGGAGGTAGAGACGAGCGGGGCAGCCATAAGCTGAGGCTCAGGAGTCAAAGAACTGATTTTTGCCTAGAGTCTTGGGAAGGACTGTGGCTCTGTGCCCTTTGACTTGGGACATTCAGCCTAACAAATCCAGGGAATTAATTTCCATTGTTTTAGGCTACCAAAATAGTGGTGACGTTGTTATGGCCAGAGGAAGCAAATATATCAATCTCTTCAATCCTACCTACTGGTTCCTGTCAGAGATATGTGTGTGAGTAATTGGAGACCTAAGGGTAGGTGGTTTCTTTCCTAGGCACATAGGACTACATTTACCAGGATTCCTTGTAGTGAACTTGAGGTCTCATAATTACTATCTATAGGTCCCTTGAAATTCAGGGGATAAGGGAGAGCTAACCAGGCCTAACTAACTACTGTATGTTGGACAAACCATTCTAGCCCACAAACTAAGACAGATGACCTGATCTAGAACAGTTTCTAGCTTCCTATTTCTGTCTGTCTCTCTCATTTCTTACATCATGCGGGTTTTTTTCTTTTGTTTTGTTTTTGTTATTGTTGCAATTTCCCATGGGTGTGCAGTTATTTCTAAATAAAAAGTTAAATTAGCCTAAATTCTTAAGTTTTCATTCTACTCTCTCCCTTTAAGGGTATTTTTTTTTTTTAAGTTTATTTATTTATTTAGAGTGTGTGTGTGTGTGTGTGTGTGTTTGTGTGTGGCCAGCTCAGCCCACCAGGGGGCGGGGCTGGCTGGCATGTGGTGCTGGGGGATTGAACCGCTGTCCCTGCGCTTTGCTAAGCTTGTTCTAAGTAGGTGCCTTAGACCACTGAGCCATCCCACCAGCCCTCCCTTTAAGGGTATTTTATTTTATCCTCAAGACAACCATACAGGGGCTGGTGAGATGGCTCAGTGGTCTAAAGCACCTATTTAAAACAAGCTTAGCAAAAAGCACAGGACCGTGGTTCAATCCCCAGCACCACATGCCAGCCAGCCCCGCCCCCTGGTGGGCTGAGCTGGCCACACACACACGCATA